TACACGGCTTTTGTTACACGTGCACTTGTACTTACACAACTCTTGTTACACTTGTACTTACACAACTCTTGTTACACTTGTACTTACACGGCTCTTGTTTCGCCTGCGCAGGTGACGTGGGCGCCGCCGCGCGACCGCACCGTCATGGTGCGCACGTACACGATCGGCTACGGCATCAGCGTGCCGGACGTCTACGAGAAGGTGCTCGACACGAAGAACCAGCGCGCGTTCACCATCGAACACCTGCGGCCGCAGAGCATGTACATCGTCAGCATCCGCGCGAACAACAACGTCGGGCCGGGCCCGCCCGCCTACGAGACGATCCACACGCAGAAGGCGCGCCCGCTGCTGCCGGAGACGCCGCTGGACCCGCCGCACGGGCTGCGCGCCGAGGTGCTGTCGCCAAACTCGGTGGTGCTCATGTGGGACGATCACACGCTGCCCGTGAAGACGAAGCACGCGATCGATGGACGCATCTACACGATCCGCTACCGGACAGGTGCGTCGCCGTGGTTACGCGGTTGCGTAGTGGCGGTTACGCGGTCGCGGTTAGGTAGCCGTGGTTACGTGGTCGCGGTGAGATAGCCACGGTTATGCGGTTAGGTAGCCGCAGTTCCGTCGCAAAGGTTACGCGGTCGCGGTTAGGTAGCCGTGGTTACGTCACCACGGTTACCCGGTCACGGTTGCGTCACCATGGTTACACTGCTGCGGATCGGTCGTCGGCGATTGTCTGCCTGTTGTTGTAGTGTCGATTTTCACCGAGGTTCTCTCACAAATTGGAATGCCATTTAAAAGGTTAGCGAATTATCGATCGATTGTGTGCCCATTCCATTTTGGCCCGTTCATAACCGCGCGTACGTTTGCGTAGGCGGCGGCCGATTCAAGTATCAGAACTCGACCGATCTGACGACGGTTACCGACGGCCTCACGCCCAACACCCAGTACGAGTTCTCCGTGAAGGTCACCAAAGGTCGCCGCTCGTCCGCCTACAGCATGGTCATCTTCAACGTGACACAGGAAGATAGTAAGTCAATAGTAAACTAACCTATCATATAGAGCATATATATATATATATATA